GATGCCACATGATCAGATATGCCATAAATAAATGTTCACAATCATATAACTGTGGCTTTAAGGTAAAGACATAACACTTCCAACATTGCATTTTGGTGCAATCCCATATGATCCCAAATGAGAAATTAGCAACTTAAAATACAATAGAGCTGTTCTAAATTCATCACAAATTTATCAAAGTTGTATGTAGCATGTGCAAAAATGGGTTGGATTAGCAGATATAACTTCATGCCAAGTGCTGGCCTACACTGGTCTTCAGTAGCACCATGCTTTTCAGCTGTGCATATAAAGTCTTTTGCACCATTCTCATATGGTATTGCGTGTTTTAGGACCATATGTGCATGATTTGACCAGGAGCCCACTGGGCATTTGCTTGTTTTGACTGATGAGTAATGCAAGCCAAGCTAGATCTCCAAAGGAGGATTGTTGAACTTCCAAGCCTGCAGCGTTTCTCTATCTGCACTGCAGGAGAAAATAATGGGTCCTTACCACTTATACCTACCTACCACTACCTAAAACCACTGATCTCAATGTCTAAAACATTGCAAAAAAATTACTTTTTTCCTTAATGAAGAAAATATGTGATTAAGTGAACCAATTCAGCTTCCCTGAAATAAAAATACATACTTCTTATCTTCTCCCTTACACTCTGGACCTAAAGTAGCAGATGTGTCAATGAGGTAAGAGGTAAGCACTCAATGCAGGTTACTAAAGTTATATATTATAAAGAGTGTATTCACTGTAAATGTTGTAATCAGTAGTACATCCCAGGAAAATAGCCATTTTAGGCTGCTAATGGGCTGGGTACAGTATAACACAAAAATAATACAGAAAGTAATCTATTACACAATAAACATGCACAAATTCAAAATGACTAATTAGTGCATAAACCTTATCTAAAAGAAGATATACACGTTGCCAAACATGCCTCAAACACAGCTTGGAAACAATGTGCAACTCTGAAGAGTAGCTAATCTGTTTTGTTCACCTTTTCTATGATTTGTGGGTGCGCACTTGTCTAACCTTACAGAAATGTGTCACTTTTTATAACTATTAGCTTTAATCACAACCAAATAATAAAGCCATGGGAATTTGAATAAGGCTTCTGAGCAATCCACTCTGATTCTTGCAATGCTCAGCTGTCCGCCCTGCTGTTGTCTTAGCCGCCACCTGACATGAGTCATAAATGAAAGTCAACAAGATAATCTCATGTAAGGAGATCCTTTCAGAATGTTACTGTCATCACAGATAGTGCAATGGCATTACAGGGACTGTAAGTCATCATAAAATACAGGAGTGACTTATATAAACAATATACCGGTAATTGAAAAGTTATAAAACACCTCCTAGTGATACAACCAAATGATGATAAACAAAGTGGCTGCTTATTTGCTTCTGTCTGTGTTGGAAACATGACTAAATATGGCATGTTTATCTTATGAGATCAAAAAGCGTCTGTCTATCTATCTATTGGATCATATTTTTTCCTTAAAGGACCACTATGGTGCCAGGAAAACATACTCGTTTTCCTGGCACTATAGTGCCCTGAGGGTGCCCCCACCCTCAGGGTCCCCCTCCCGTCGGGCTCTGGGGGGAGGAAGGGGTTAAGCTTACCTCTTTCTCCAGCACCGGGCGGGGAGCTCTCCTCCTCTTCGGCTGAATGCGCATGAGCGCGCATTTAGCCAGTCCATAGGAAAGCATTCACAATGCTTTCCTATGGACGCTGGTGTCTTCTCACTGTGAAAATCACAGTGAGAAGCGCGGAAGCGCCTCTAGCGACTGTCAATGAGACAGCCACTAGAGGCTGGATTAACCCTAATATAAACATGTTTATAGAAAAAAGGGTTAAACCTAGCTGGACCAGGCACCCAAACCACCTCATTAAGCTGAAGTGGTCTGGGTGCCTATAGTGGTCCTTTAAATTGCTCTTTAGAAAGAGAAAAAAGTTGTCTCTGGATTCCAGCAAATTAGTAGATAGAATAAATGAAAGTTAGATCTTAACACAAACACCTATAGCTTACAAATCCAATTATCAAACAATGATAATTCTAACAGTGTAACATACATTACAGAGCTGGATTACCCAAGAGGCGGCATAGGGCCTGCTGGTTGCTCTGGCTTTGAAGGAGTCCTCCTTGAGCTGGCAGTGAGATCAAAAGATCTCCCTGCTCAGCCCTATGCTCCCTCATTTTATTAAGGGTGCTATTGGGTGCAGATCATTTTAAGAGCTCCCCTGCAGTCCTCTGGGAGTAATGAATGACTCTGAGCACTAGGGACAATACAAGAGTCACTGAGGAAGTGCCAAGGCCACAAGTCAGCTGTTATAGTGATCGGCAACTAATAGAGGTGCAGACCACAACATCCCTACATGGACCACTAGGGATCCTGCAAATAACAGACTCAGCAGACCACCAGGAAATCCTTTCCCCAACACATTCAAAAACTCAGACACTCCCTGCTACAGACATTACAAACTTAACACTTAGCCACATTCAGACTCCCCTCCACACACAGACACACTCAATCACCACACACACAACGATTATAGAACAGTGCTCACAGTTTTAGGATGGAACCCCAATCTGGCATCCGGCCTAGAGCCCTGGGCAACCTTAATCCAGATCTGCCACACTAGAAAATAATTCAAAATATGTAATTCTCAATAACTAATGGTGAGTGCCCATGATACTTCTACACCATTAATGCAACAGTCAGATATGCATATATTTTGGCATTTCCATTAATTTTGTTTCCAGTAACCAAAAGTATGGGATACTGGAAAATTATCTGGAATAATGTAAATTAGGTCCTAAAAGGGAAATGTCCAGCCAGAACTCTGTTGATTGGAAGACATGTAATTTTACTATGTGCGCTTTTACTATTTTCTTCAGCTTAATCAGTTAATTGTATTATGAATTCTATAAATACCATGGTTACATGCCTCTATTTCTATCTGTTTTTTTTCTCCTTATTTGAATGGGTTGGACTTATAATTGGACCCAGAGGTCAATGAAAGCAGAATATATCTCAACATAACAACATATTACATTTTAAAAGGTTATGTAAATATTATATATAGTACTTTAATGTTAGAATATATTGTATGTATCAAGAGAAAAAATACTTTTTCCTATGTAATATTTGTTAGCAATTCTATCTAGTTAATGCAATATATATCAGGATATAACCTTTCTTAATGTTCTTTAGATGTAACAATAAAATAATAGTTAATTTTAGAGAGCTGCAACCTGAATGGTACATGACCCAAAATTAGGAAACACAAGTTAGAGTTAAGTTATGTACCATTTATGGAATTCATGAGTGATTTAACCACATTCTACAATAAAATAGATTATGTTGTGTTTCTTTTTTCATTGCCAAAAAGGTACTGATCTTAAATCCTAAATGCAATGAACATCTGGAGAGTTATTTCCTTCCAAATGCCTTATAGCTTTACAAGAATATACTTTTACAAGAGCAGTTATTAAACAAGCTCTTAAATCTAGCACTTTGGTGTATCCTAATTTAAATTTTGCCCTTTTATTGTAAATGTCCCTTTCAAATAAAATAAAAATATAGAGTGGAGTGAATTGGCTGTAATTCTGAATGACTTTTAATACAATGTCTAGAATTACCATTATGAAGCAGTAACATATTCTAATATATTTTATAACTGATTAATTAAAAAAGAAGGAAAGAAAATATGTACAATATATATACTAGAGACATCATAAATTATGAGTACATACTATTGTAAAACCATAATACAGACTTCCCATTTCCTATTTATTTATTTATTTATTTTTATTAAATATTATTTAAATTGTAGTTTTTGTATATAAGTTGGTCAGGAACAATAAGCCTAGTTATGATAGCCTAGTTATGATAGTATTGATAATGGTATAATTTGAATGTGGTGTGCTGAAACCGACGTACGGGTAGGCCTGTAAGTAAAGAGGGCCCACCAAATGAATAGCTTAAAAGAAAGGGGAGCGGTAGGTGGTCAGAACTAGGTGGTATCAACCCAGTGAAAGGGGTGACCTGTGTGTTTACAGGTCAGGGGAACTCCTCCCACAACTCCAGGCTCCACCTTCCCATTTGTTGTCAGGGACAATAAACTGATTAATAGTATTGAGAGTGGTATAAGTTGGATGTGGTAAAAATTGGTTGAGATGTGCCAAAACCGACATTCGGGTAGGTTTGTAAATAAAAAGGGAAAAACGTTTAACAGTTTAACACTTTAATACATGTTAACATTACATAATCAATTCTTTAAATGTCTGATTAAGAGATATTTGGTGTATGCAGATGTTTTCCTATATCTCAGTATTTGATGATGTGTACTGGGATATTTACTAGAGGCAAGTAGCTCCTATTCTAAAAGAACAACCTGAAAAATGTTAAAGGACTGTATCAAAGTTAAAGACTAGTATCCTGACATATGTAATTAATTATGATGTTGTGAGTGAATTATCGTTTAACCTGAAGAGAAGTGAATGCCCATGTAGTCCTGTGTGTGTCGAATAAAATTGTCTAGTATGTTGACCAGGCACCATTGTTGATTGGGATGTGGATTATCTTTGTAGGTGTGAATGAGATGAGGGTTTTGGTGTTGTGAGCTAAATAAGGATGAGATGGCAAAAAGATGTGGAAGCCAACAAGGAATCTATAGAACACAGTTTGACTATATGATATACCGAAGTGAACTTGATTGGACATATCCAGTGCTCTGGTATATGAACGGTTGCTATTGGCGAAGTGTGCCGCGTGTGCCAGCAATCTATCATGGTCAAGAGATGAGCTAATCGAGTATGAGGTACTGTAATGTTTGGGGCTTATAGTAGGTCATTTGGCAGCTGTGTGGTGTGCTTGGAAAAAATACATGAAATTGGAATTGAGTCAAGGCATCAGCTGCTATGTTGAGACAGACTGGAATGTATTTGTGGACTGTGTAGTTGCAAGCCAAGGTAATTTCATAAGTAACCTCATAATTATGAGTGAGGAGGACTGACCCTAATTAACTTCACAAACTACTGTGAGTTTTGGGTAGCATTAGCTTCATTTATATCCTTCCTAATGCACGGGGGACCTAAATGCGCTGGTGTAAAAACGTGAGAAGAGGGAACATGTGTTGGATTGTAACTGGTATTGTTACCTTGAGAGAATGGAAGCAAGGGGTACAAAGTACAGTACTCCGTGGGAGAGTTAGGAACTCTTGGGTCAGGAGATTCTAACTGCTCCAGTCTGATCTTAATCGTATTTAGAAAGAAAGATGTATGTAATTGCAGTGTGCAGTCTGCCATGTTCTCTACATTTCTTGGAGCTGGCAATCATGTGTCTATACAGAACAGCTCTCAAGCTGTAGCTGGAAATTATATACCTTACATCTGTGTTCAGCAGCAATTTATGAATGGTCCAGGATCACAAGGGACTGGGCTAGCGTTATCCTGGTCCTTGGCTCGGGGGTGAACTATCCTCCTAGTACCAAGATGTGAGGCGTACTATGATGCAAAATAAAGAGTCAAATCACGGCCATGCTGTGATAGTGTAACCCTGCATCAACTTGCGACTTGCTTGGTGCTGAATGTCAAGGAAATTAGCTAAAGAAAGGGAAGGTGAGGCGTAACATAACGCCAAGTGACTCTGAGAGGTTCTAGCTATGAATTTGGCCAAGGGACTGACTGCCCCAAACGGAATGGCAGGAATGTTGACCTCTTGGGTGACAAGTAAAAGAATACCTCCGTGTAAGGATGGAAGTTGGCAGACAGAAGAACAATTATACTAGAATATGGTCTGCACCAATACCCTTTACAGACAGTTGATCTATCCATAAGGAATGTAGAGGAATAGAAACATAATAAATTGAAAGAAGTATGTTAAAATGTACTTACCTTGCCCAACTAGTGAGCGATTGAGCTTGAGAAAGGAATATCATAGAGAGGAGCCTAAAGACACAATGACAACGCTAATGGGAGTATGTATGGTCTAAGCGCTAATTGAAGTCAACAGGATGATAAGTAAGGATAGTAGAAACCTAGATAATAAGGGAACTTAATTATGTGCATGAACCTAGGCCAATCAATAGGGATATTAGAGGAAGATACCTGGAAGTGCTGCATCTAGGTAAGAGTTCCCACTGTGCGTCCAACCACTAGAGGGACTGGGAGTATGTATGAAAAAGATGGGGGACAGCTCTAGTTTACTCAGTAGGAAACAAAACATGTAAGATCTGGTAAGTTCCTGTAACAGGAGTTGTGAATTATCCAAAACTTGGTAAACAGTGACAGATCACAGAGGTCCAATTATGGTGAATGCGTAATGACTGATCCAAGTTTAGAGTGTAGAGAGAGGATTGTATAGTAAGGAATTGCATAGAGAAGAATAGCTGCCCATAGTATGATAGGGCAGTAGTTGAGTAGTTGTGTAAAGCTATAAATGTCATATGTAATTGCCAAAATGAGGGCCAGAATTAAGTCCTGGTGGATTACTTGAGGAGGGCCGTATGTAACGTATGGAGTGAGGCATAGAGAGGTCCATGTGTAAAGGTATGGCAGCAGAAGGCTGAGTGTTTAAAGTAAGTGCAAAGCTGCTGGCTATATCAAAGACTGTTGGAGATGAGCAGGTTGTGAATGAACAAATGTAAGATAATTGTAACAATGTAGTGGGAGTTGTAAAATGTACTGGGAAATGAATATGGGTAGTATTGATGTCTTAGTGTTTAAATGGGTCTAAATGCAATGGTAGTGGGAATAGTCATGAATAAAGGTCTGGTCATGTCAACATATAGGAGGGCTGAGCCAGAAGGCAGTGACCAAGGAAATTAATTATATGACCGACATAATAGATCTAGTATGTCTAAATGTGTGGCATGGTCAAACATGACAGTTGAAGCTGTGCTAGACCAAAGAGGCATAATAAGAGAGGTAAGAGTAAAATGTACATGGAGGAGGAGAGGCTCTGGCAACTTTAGTAGTTTTATCAGGGTGAGGCAGGATTGTTGTGGCCTAACGTACATAACCCTCGAGTAGCAGAAAGGCACTATGGAGTGCCCAAATGATGGGAACGAAATTGGTCATAGCGGTAAGCCCACTGAGGAATTTATGAAGAGTAGGTTGTGAAGGCCTAGGGTCATGTGCAGTCAAAAGCTGAGAAAACCCATGTGATACTAGAGTGGCAGGTTGGCCATTTGAGGACGCATTGGGAATTAACGGGGGACAAGATTTGTAATTGATGTGATAGCGATGAGACAGAGTAACAGGTTACCAAATGATGAGCATTTAGGTACTGAACTGTTAATATAAAAGGAATTGTGTGTAAAACACATCATTATTATTTTTGTTACTTTATTAGTCACTGTTGGTTCTAACCTGGCAAAGTATGGTTAATTCATTTCAAAATGTATATTTTTTGGAGATTTGCTTGTCTGACTTACTTTATCCACATTATGGTATTTAAAAGCATAAATTTACAGCTGTGGTGTAATAATTTTCATGGCGTAAAGCCTTCAAAGCAGCAGTGATGTTAAGATATGTCAGACAATTTAGACAAGCCCTACACTGACAATCCTTCATCGCAACTTTACCAACAGCGATACTTCAAATATATTAGAATATTGTCAATTTGGAGGGTAATCAACAGCCATTAAAAATAGCAACAAAGTTTCAAATTAAGACAGGGAAAGGAAAACATTACTGACTTATGGACAAGATACATATATCAGTCCTTGAAATCATAACCTACGTAAAAGTCGGTTATTAAATTATTAGTGCATTAGTGCAAATGGTATGCCATCATGGGGGTAATTTTCATTCCTGGGCTACCATATAATGTCAAAGGCAACATATCCAATCTAGCGAATTTCATTGAGTATAAACTGAAAAATGTAACATGCTATATTTGACCCTGTAACTTTCCAAAAAACCATAAAACCTGTACATAGGGGGTACTGTTTTACACGTGAGACATCGCTGAATAAAAATATGTGTATTTTATTGCAGTAAAAGTAAACAGTATTATGACATCCACAGTTAAAATGTCATGTAGAACTAAAAAAATAACATTTCTTATTTTTCCTATTTGTTTTATATTTTATTCATGTTAAATTATGTTTTATAGCTAAAAAAAAAATGAGATATAATAAGTGTGGGTGCACTTAATATAAAAAAAGAGGCGAAAACAGACATATAGTCAAATTCCAGGTTTTGTTTTGATCACAACGTGTACATTTGGCTCAGTGCTTAAGGGGTTAAAGAAGCACTTAAAGGTTCATAACATAATATGGTTCATAACATAATTTGTTTCAAAAGAAGTATCACTGACGTTAATGCACACACCCCACCCCCCAATGAAATAGCGTTTATATTTCTACTTATTTATAAATTTAGTTTATATAGTCCATTTTATTAAGCAGAGAAAATAATAATGGATATGTCAGTGTTTTCTCTATTTGTCACTTGAGAACAGGCTGAAATGAATTTGACCAAGACAAAATATAAATTAACGTAAATGTGAACTAATACTAATTTCTGGATAGTAATATGCATTCTTAGTTAACAGTTCTGTTATTCCCAATTTATATTATTTGTAAGTGTTAGTAATAGATGGGTGATAAGACATGCAGTACTTTTCATAAATGGTGTTGTATTTCTGTTAAACAATTATAAAATTTAACCTAGTCAAATCTATCTACCAATAAAATTACTAACCACAGTTTCTTTACAAGGTAGTGACGGGTTAAGAATTCCGAAGGCTTGCAAGATAAAATATCTGTATAGAGTGCTTATTTCATTGCATTGTAAGGTAAGATGAGCCTTAAAAGATCAACTGATTTTAATAGCTACTTAAATCTACGTACCTGACAAAAGGTCTTTTCAGTCCAATCTTATCCAGTGTATGCTCTTTGCACTGGTACCAATGGTACTAATACAAGTGAGGTTTTCTTAGATTGCCATGATCAAGTTCATTTAGGAGGTCATATTCAGGAGCCTTAACTCTGAAACTGTATCAATTGCTCCCAGGGCTGATTTTCTTGATGACAAATTGTAAACTGAGCCGTTTCTTGGGTAATCTAGTACTAAAGTTCTTAATTAATAGATGGAACAAATCAACCAGTTTCAAGCTATGGCAACACAGGAAAACTGGTAAATTAAATAAATTAATTAAAGCATATTATGAATTTCCATGTGCATATAATAAATATATAGATTAAATAGTAATTAATTATGTAATTAAATACAGGTTTTGTAATTCTGTCATTCGTTTCATGTGATACCTCATGTACTTACTTTTATAAAAAAATAAAAATGGCCTTAGATCTCTATCAATAGTATTGTGTTGCTGGTAAACGTTGGGGGGTAGGTAATGGAATTTTTTGAGACTTTTTGGGCTGATTAATTAAAAGTCATTGTGAAACAGGAACAATTACTGCAAGTGTGATTAATAAAAAAAATAAAATGCAGCAACTCTGTGACTGACAACTGAAGTATTACAGAAGGAATTTCATTAAACTCATCACTCTCATCCCATTGTAAATAAGGGGTTTCATTTGTTTTGCATTGCGGAACAATGCTGACCAAATTTTTTTTTTTTTTAAACTATGTTTTTCTCAGAACAACTATAAACAAAGCTCTCACCTGCACTGTACTAAAGCCACCATGACTCCTAAATTAAGTTCTGCTTGATAGCTGCCAAAAAGAAAATAGGAGACAAATTGCATTATTAACCTTATGCTTGAAAAATAACACATAGTTCTTCAAATCCTGTAAACCTGTCTTTCCAAGTGTCTTCACTTATTGATGCAGAAGAGGAAATGAATTGTTTAAGCTGACTGCTTGCTCTATTTTGAATGTAAACAGACAAATTAAGCTATTTTTATTATATAGTGCAATATTTGCAAAGACTTCTAATTAGACATCCCTATTACAAATATATTTTTTGAAGATTCAGGCTAGCTTGTTTATATTTCTTACTCAATTCAGTTTTTGAAGAACGATGTTCCATAGATAGAAACATTAGCACTTTAACCAATTAATATAGCACATCTAGCCACAACGCATACTAACAGACTTGTTCACTGTGATTAGACAATTTCTTCAATCAACATACTGTTTAATACTTGCAGTGAAAAGGATTGAAAACATGACTAGGTGCAATATCATGGCTGTTGCAGGCAGCCAAGATATCAAGGTGCAAAAGCCTGACAAGGTGCAAT